GCCTGGTTGGGCAGCTTGCTCGGCTTCACGTTTTGGGCTCGTTTGAGCTCGTCTGAACTCGGAATTGAGTTCCGTTTTTTCCTACGCGTAGCTAACGAACCCCTCTTTCTAGTCAGCTTCCCCAAAAGATTCTTGAAAACCTGTTCTCCTGAGGTCTCCAAACTACACAGCAAAAACAAAAAGAGAACAGAAAAAGACCGAAAAACAAACAGAAAACACCGCAACACTCAAATGAAGGCAAACACATAATAAATGACAAAAAGAACCTAAAACCAACTAAATGACTCAAAATGGGGGAAAAAGAACGAGAAAATAATAACAAAAAATACAACAAAAATGGGACAAACAAGGTGCTTTGTTTTCTACCAGTCACAGCAGCTTATCTTGTTGTTTATCAGGGCTTCAGATTGAAGTAGTAGATCTAAGATCAGTAAATATAAGATCATTTAAATTCTGATTGTGGGCTAATTTTAACTTAATGAAATTGGGTTTGAGCGGTAGATCTAAGATCAGTAGATTTAAGATCATTTAAATTCTGATTGTGGGCTAATTTTAACTTAGTTTTCATGTATTGTGTTAATTTCTAGATTGTAAAAGTTAAGGTAGGTAATTTTGAAAATTTTATGCTTCGTATTGGTTAACATAAGAAAACCAATCGAAAAAATACTCTTTAAAAATATCTAATAAAAAATCAATTTACCATTAATATGTAAATTTGTCAAATATTGTGTGCAACAAGAAGACATAGAAATTAATTGAAAGTTAATTAAGTAATAAGATTATTATATGAAATAAAAGAAACATAAATCAAGCGATAAAAATACTACAAATAAAATGAGTTAAAAGAGTGGTAAAAAATTGTTGAAAAAAAAAATATTTGTGAAAAACATTTTGAACAAACAAAAATAATATATAATAAATAAAGTTGATGTGATAAAAATGCTAATTTAATAAATATAAATATTTTGTTGTAAAAAAAAATGTGTGGAAAATTTAATTGAAAATAAATAGTGGTATTTTGGTTGCTCCATAAAATGTGGGTAAGTGTGTTTTAAAATTTTTACCAATACTAGATATAATTATAGCGGTTTTGCTATGAAGCCAACAATTGGCTTCATAGTGGAGTCAACCTTCTATATACAATAAATAAGCCTACCATATTCTCTGATTAGTTAAATAACACTAATATAATCTTATTAATATGATATGTTTATTTGTTCTATATAGAAGGTTGGCTCCAATATGGAGCCAACTGTTGGCTTCATAGTATAATCGATAATTATAGACTGAACTAGGGTCGGCTCTGCGTGCACAGACGATTCCAATCTAGTATATTTTATATAACATGAATTAATAAACAATTATGATCCTTTCATAATAAAAATAAAATTATAAATCAATATTAATTAAATAATAACAAAATAATTTAGTAATTATATAAATTTACCATCGACTTCATATGCAATATAAGAGACAATTAGTCGGTTCCCCTGTGGATCCGGAAACCGGAAGGTCCCCGTACCAAAAAAAAAAAGAGACAATTATCACGGGTAAAATAGTGCACTTGTATCATTAATAAGTATTGAATGATTTTTTTTTTTTAATTTAAACATAACATTTTAAATTAGCACTGGTGTAATATAAAATTTTTGGATATGTTTGAATATCATACTTTAAAATGAATTTAAAATAAAAAGATAATATTTATACTATAAGTATGTATTTTAAAAAATATATAATTGGTAACAATTAGACACTTTAATACAGCTAGTGCAATACTCGTGTATATACGGGTGCTTGAAAAATGATACTTTTACAACCAACAAAATGAAAATAACTAATGTTCTTATTGGTAACTTATAAATAATAAATTCTCCCTGTATATAATTTCCGAATGCGCTGAGCGTAAGTGGCAGACTCGCATACTTCGGGATCCTAGGTGTCAAAATTTCATGCTTCATTGTTTGACTTGGATAAATTTTAATTTAATTTTAATCCCAAAATAATTAGGTTCGAATTACCATAAATATGTTGATTTATTTATGATCATTTTAATTGTATTTTAATATCATTTCCTAGTATAACCATTGAATTGTATATGTATAATATTAAAAGTTGATAACTTATGTAGTTCTTATCGGTTTTAAATATATAATATATCAAATTAATCGTCTTTTGATGAACTTCGATTTGACATATATGTTGTATATATAAAATAAATAAATTATATTATCTTTATAATAATAATAAAATTATTTATTAAAATTAATTAAAAATAAAATTATTTTTCAATTTATGTATTTATGTTTAATGTATTTATATGTTATAAGTTAGAAAAATATTATAATATGATACATGTAAGTCGCACTAGTAACAAGT